GTTTAATAACAGGCTCTTCAGTCTAGCAGAGAGAGGTGTAACATAATCCAATGGCTGGAAGTTTAAGTTAGACAAATTCAGACTGGAAATAAGGTGTAAATTTTTAACAGTGATGGTAATTAATAAGGCTAAGATTTTGTATGAATATTTTTAGTAAAACTCACAGACAGGTCAGGGGCAATGAAGAAAAATTCACAGAAGCCCATGATCTGTCCCTGACTGTTACTAAAAATATCCATGATAAAATGGGAAGGGGCTGGGCAGCTGTAGGGTGGCTAGGAGCTCTGGGACCCCACCACCCGTGGGGCAGAGAGCTGCAGGGTCCCCCTGCCCCCTCCCCAGCTGCGGGAAGCTGCGGGGTGCCCCCGCTGCCCATGGCGGCTCAGAGCTTGGGGACCCACTGCCTCAGGTGGTGAGTACCTCACAGCTCCCTGCCGCTGCGGGAGGCAGCAGGACCTTGCAGCTCCCAGCCGTCAGGGCTGAAGTCATAGAGGTCTTTGGAAGTCAAGGATTCCATGACTTCTACAACCTCCATGACAAAATCATAGCTAATTAACCATTGGAACAATTTATCAAGGGTTGTGGTGAATTCTCCAGCACTGGCCATTTTTAAATGACGTTTGGATGTTTTTCTAAAAGGCATGCTCATCGTGAATTATTTTGGGGAAGTTCTATGGCCTGTGTTATACACGAGGTCAAACTAGATGATCACAAGGGTCCCTTCTAGCCTTGTAATCTATGAATTGCATGGATTTGTCAGTATTGTTTTCCATAATGCTTATGGACATATCCTATTTCTATTTTTTACAGGAACAATGTTTAACCAAATGGCAAAATGGGTACAATATGACAACGAAACTGGGATATACTATGAAACCTGGACAGTTCGAGCAAGTCCTGACAAGCATGCAGTAGTGTGGTTTGAATCTTATGAATGCTCGAAATTTATATTAAGAACATATCAGAAGTTGGCCGATTTAGGGGCTGTATTTAATAAGATACAAACAAATTATACCAGCATTACTTTGTTTACCGGAGAACCCATTTATTTGGGGAATGAAACATCTATTTTTGGACCTCTAGGAAACAAGACAGTGGCTGCAGCCATAAGAGATTTCTACTATCCATTCAAATCTCATCAGTCTATTGAAGAGTTCTTCTTAAATGTCTTAAAAATAGTAGATCAGGTTGTCTTAAACCACCAGTTTTACCTTTTTTACAACTTAGACTACTGGCTTTTACCTATAAAGTTCCCTTACATCAAAATAACTTATGAAGAGATCCCTTTACCTAATGAAGACAATACATGGGTTGGTTTGTAATTATTTCATTAGGTGTAGGTTCTGTGGATATTCATTGACTGTTCTGCCCTGCCTTGGGTGAAGAAAGAGTCCCCTTTCTTGCTAGCTGCATTACAGCCCCAGAATTCTCAAGGGGTTTGGACCTGTCATTGGCCACATGGTTGCAAGTCATCTGCTTCTTCTTAAAGAGGGGAGTCTACAGGAGCTGGTTACCAGCAGACACAGTGGCTTGCTAGCTTGACTCCATCAAAAAATGTACCTTCTACCCATTGGAACACTGTACATTTCATATTTGATGGAACTGGGACCAGTTGTCCTGGAACATGATGAAGTCAGCAGACATGGAAATGGGTTGAGAGTTGTTGGTAGATTACAGCTGTCATGCTGATGACTCCTTTGTTAGAAGGTGGTGGCGGTGGTGTTGTTTATTTTTGTTTTGCCTTTGGACAGCCTGACACCTTACCAGAATTACTAAACAAAGCACAGATAAGGCTGGCTCCCCTCAGATCCAACGTAAGTCTCTTACACAAATTAAAGAAGGATTGGAACTGACTAGCCAACACAAATCATGCTAGGGCCCATAGTCAACATGGTTTCTGTAAAGGGAAATCGTGTCTTACTAATCTATTAGAGTTCTTTGAAGGGATCAACAAACATGTGGACAAGGGGGATCCAGTGGACAGAGTGTACTTAGATTTCCAGAAAGCCTTTGACAAGGTCCCTCACCAAAGGCTCTTACGTGAATTAAGCTGTCATGGGATAAAAGGGAAGGTCCTTTCATGGATTAAGAACTGGTTAAAAGACAGGGAACAAAGGGTAGGAATTAATGGTAAATTCTCAGAATGGAGAGGGGTAACTAGTGGTGATCCCCAAGGGTCAGTCCTTGGACCAATCCTATTCAACTTATTGATAAATGATCTGGAGAAAGGGGTAAACAGTGAGGTGGCAAAGTTTGCAGATGATATGAAACTGCTCAAGATAGTTAAGACCAAAGCAGACTGTGAAGAACTTCAAAAAGATCTCACAAAACTAAGTGATTGGGCAACAAAATGGCAAATGAAATTTAATGTGGATAAATGTAAAGTAATGCACATTGGAAAAAATAACCCTAACTATACATACAATATGATGGGGGCTAATTTAGCTATAAGTCAGGAAAAAGATCTTGGAGTTATCGTGGATAGTTCTCTGAAGATGTCCACGCAGTGTGCAGAGGCAGTCAAAAAAGCAAACAGGATGTTAGGAATGTTAGGAATCATTAAAAAGGGGATAGAGAATAAGACTGAGAATATATTATTGCCCTTATATAAAATCGATGGTACGCCCAGATCTCGAATACTGCGTACAGATGTGGTCTCATCTCAAAAAAGATATACTGGCACTAGAAAAGGTTCAGAAAAGGGCAACTAAAATGATTAGGGGTTTGGAACGGGTCCCATCTGAGGAGAGATTAAAGAGGCTAGGACTCTTCAGCTTGGAAAAGAGGAGACTAAAGGGGGATATGATAGAGGTATATAAAATCATGAGTGATGTGGAGAAAGTGGATAAGGAAAAGTTATTTACTTATTCCCATAATACAAGAACTAGGGGTCACCAAATGAAATTAATAGGCAGCAGGTTTAAAACAAATACAAGGAAGTTCTTTTTCATGCAGCGCACAGTCAACTTGTGGAACTCCTTACCTGAGGAAGTTGTGAAGGCTAGGACTATAACAGCATTTAAAAGAGAAAACTGGATTAATTCATGGTGGTTAAGTCCATTAATGGCTATTAGCTAGGATGGGTAAGGAATGGTGTCCCTAGCCTCTGTTTGTCAGAGGATGGAGATGGATGGCAGGAGAGAGATCACTTGATCATTGCCTGTTAGGTCCACTCCCTCTGGGACACCTGGCATTGGCCACTGTCGGTAGACAGGATACTGGGCTAGATGGACCTTTGGTCTGACCCGGTACGGCCGTTCTTATGCTCTGGGGAGTGAGGAGGGCCACCGAGGCCATAGCCCAACCACTTTTGGCTAGACCAAATGTGAGTGGCCAAGTCACAACTCCACTTGCTCATGACGGAGGGGTGGCTGGGCTGCACGTGAATGGAGCTGCGACCTTACACACAGGGTCTCAATGCTATTCACTCAGATTGGACAGGGTGGGGATCATGGTTCAGTGTGATAAGGCGGGAGGTGGGGGGAGGGGAAAGAGTAGGTAGAGGGGCACCTGAGAGCGGAGAAATCTCTGACACCCCCCACATACACACTTTAAATGGTACTCCATGGCCCCTGCTAGGGTCCTTCACCATCAAAAGGCTATAGTAATGATTATTTTCTTCTCAATTTAACCCAAACTAAATGAGATTTTTCAGGTCTTTGCTTGAGATTTATTTCCACTTAAGCTTGCTGGTTGTGAAGGAATTTGGCCAGCTGTGATGCCTTCAAAAATCCATATTCACAGAGTTAAAAAATATGAAACAAAAGAGCATTAATTCATTTTTGTAAAAGAACCCACAACACCTTCAAGAATAGGTACAGTTATTAGTGGCTGTCAGAGTACTGCTAGAAGTCTTAATTCATAATCTTACTACTTAAATTCTAACATAATTCTTTAAAAAAAAAGCCTGATTTAGGCATAAATAAGATCAAGATCAATGTACCATAGTCCTAAGGACCACAGCACTTGTATGGCTTTTTTAAAGGTATTATACTTAAGTATTTTTCATATGCAAGAGATGGATTCTCTTGAAGAGAGCTGTAGGAGCCATATTTAGCTAAAATATTGATAAATCTTATTTAACATTATTTTTTATAAGTATTAAAAGGTACTAGTGCTTTTTAATAGCCTGCTTAATATGCACGTCACTGACTACACAGGCTGCAGTGGACAGATACCTGCATTAAAAGTACCATTCCAGTTAGAGCAGTGAGTATTAAATGGGATCAGACCATTATTTTGGGATATCCAGCAGTAGGTCCTCTGCAGCTCTGGATTTGCCAGTGACTGTAGAGAAGCTTTTACAGCTGTAATTCTTTAATAGCTAGGGCACTGTTTCCAGTCTAACACCTTGCAGCTGCATCATCTTTTTTAAGTGTGCAAACTCTGACTATGGTTCTAGGGAGTTAGCGGCTGAACACTTGGCTGTTGGTAACCTGCTGAGGTGATGGGTATTGATGGAAGAGGAATAAGCACATCTAATTTGAGCTTGCAGTCGGTTTGTGTAGTACTAGGATTGTATGGTTGTATTTTGTATAATTTAGAATGAAGCATGTATTATATGTATTGATGCATGATATGATTTGGTTATATTCTGCCAGCCACCCTTTCTGAAACCAGAAAGGAATGGCCCAGTGTGCCATTGGTAAAGATGCATCAGCCAGAATCTTGTGTCTGAAGCTGATTTCAAGGCAGTACTAGACCTTTAGGGTCACCACTTTGTTGTAGGTTTAAAATTAGCATTTTGAAATAAGTAAAAGAATGCAATGATTGTTTTCTCTTGCATTGCAATTTGATGTTCCTGTTCAAATGTTCTGTGTAAATCAATCCTGTTTTGTGTGTGAATGAGGAAAGTGTGTGTTAGAAGATAAGTGTGAAGGCCATCACCAGACCAGGTGTTCTTGGGAGGAACCAAGAACAGATGTAAAGGTGCCAGGAGATTGCAACACGCCCCTATTGAGATGTCAAAGGAGGGCAGATTGATAGGTGCCTGCTTCATCTTTAGAGTCGTCAATCGGGACAAGATAGCTATGATCAAAACCAGCATGGGGTAACTCCCCCAGAGACTGATGAAGGAACCAAGATAAAGATGAGAAGAACAATTTAAGAAAACAAGCACTCGTCAAACGGCGATAGAGTACAGCATGACGGTGCAAAACTCATTGGTCCCAATGAAGAAATATTATTATATAAACAGGGTGCTTTGCCATGAAACTTTGGGTTTGTCCTGCCAAGACTTCCCCAGAGGATCGTGTTGCGACCACCAGAACCCAGCTCCTCCCTACCTGTCATCAACAGAACCCAGCTCCTCCCTACCCGTCATCAACCTAGCTGGCCGCTAGGTTGCTCCGGACTCTGGACTGGTAACTATAACATCGATTGGTGTGTGGGGGTGTGTGTGTGTGTGTGTGTGTGTGAGAGATTGAATGCATATGCTAATTGTATCTCCAATAAACGCAGCGTATTGCCTTTTCCCCTGAAAAAGATCCTGGGTGCTTCTTATAAGCATAACATTTGGAACAAGTGACTGATTACAGAAACAACATCAAAACTTGTAAATTGTTAATAAATATTAAAATATTTGGTTTAATAACAGTGGGTAGCATTATTCCTTTTATGTAAATGAACACTCTGCTATGGAATATGCTAACATAGCAGTGGTGGTAGAGCTGCCAGGGTATGATTATAAGAGCTCCTGTTAGACCTGAATTATACAGCACCGTCTCCCTCTGACTGCTACAATTACTACACTTTCCCCTAACATTCAGTATATTTTACATTGTAGAAGACCTAGAAAATTTAAGGCAATTAGTGAAATGTATTACAGAACTTGCCAAGTAAAAACTAGAGACTGATAGCTAGAATTTGTGGCCCATAGGAGGAGGTTGCAAGCCCAAGTAGTTGATGTTTGGTACATGGAAGCACTGCATTTTGGGGCGGGGGGCAGGTTTGGAGTGGGGCATGTTGATTCCAAAGTAGCTGCTTCACTCAGTATCTGCCACTGCCTCCAATAATAGTACAGTTAGCTTGATGATTCTACTCTAGAGACTAGCAAATAAAAGTTAGTGGTGCCAACTATGTTCAGTAGACTCTAGCATGAATAGGAGCAATTCACACATTTTAGAGCTATTGTCTAAAGCTATACATAGAAATAATTACATTGGGTAACATTTTGAAGGTTATCTTTTAAACTATAAGATAATGTTTTCAAATTGCGGCATGAAGGCCACAATCAGGTGGGACATCACTTGGTTTAAAGTAGCTGTGTCCAGTCCATTGCCCACTGAGGGTGACAGTTTAAGAAAAAAATATGTATTTAAGGATGAATTTAAAGTGTGTTCCTTGAGCAGTACACTATTACTTTTAAACTCTTATATTTAAATCAGGTGTGTTACTAGGGGGAGGAACAGCGGACATCTCTCCTCACTTCCATTGCTTACCAGCCTATAGGAGCCTCAAGGAGAACAGCTTGACTGGCTCTGCCTGAGCTTAAGGGAACTTCTAGCAAAGGATGGCTTCCTTCTATATGGAACTGCCCAGGAAAGGGGAGAGGTTGAGAACCAACAACCAGTTATAGATGACTCTCACATTATCCACCCCTGCCTTTCCTCCCCTTTGATCTTTCAATTTGTCTCCTTTGTTTAGGCCTTAAGGGTGATTAGCACTAATTTCAGCAATATAGGAACGTAGTATAACAATATAGTTGTCAGACTAGTGGTCCACCTCATCCAGTCACTTTAAAGGCTAGTCCCAGATGCTTCAGAGACACCCTGCAGCAGGCAGCTATAGGATAACCAGCTTCCTGGAAAATTCATTCTCCCCTTGAGAGGCCTAAAGCGTGAGGATTTAAATCTCCTTGATTAAACAGTAGCATTTACTGTAACTACTCTGCATATTCCTGTGAGCCACATAAATCCTGATCCTGTGTCCAACAAGCTGTGTTTCATCAATGCAAAACCCTATTGTGGATAAAGGCCAAGATTAAAAAATAATGGGAGCCTAAACATAGGCTTCTAAACAATACACATGATTTTCCTCCCCTGCCCATCAATTAAACAAAAGCCAACAACATACCTGGCCAAGGAAAGCTTGAAATATGGGGTATACTCTGCCAGTGAAGATCATGGGATTGTTCTGAGCTGAGGGGTGAAAACAAGAATTAGCAGCAGCACAGCTACACCACTTATTGAAATTAGGCTAGATAAGACCTTACTTCTGTTTAGTGAACTGAATCTTTAGTGAATACTTTCTTTTGTTTGTAGGCAAACACCAAGAATTCACCAGTTTGAATCTCTACTCTTGCCTCCCTGCCTTTCATTAAGTCTGGTTTGAGCAGGTTAGGCTGGGAACATGAACATTTCCCTTGGAGTAAGGAAGGTCACAGATCCATGATGGTGGGAGGGTCTCTGCTTTATGCAGCTTTGGAGGAATATCTGACCGTTCAGTCAGTGGCAGGGCAAAACCTGCCAGCTGAGATGTTTCCACAGCCTAGACAATATCTAACGACTCTATATTTCGCCATGTCTGCACTACAAACTTTGGTTGATACAAGTTACATTGGTGTACAGCTGCCAAAGTTAGTCTAGAGCTTATTGGTGTGCATGCTTGGCTGATTGCATCGACACAAGCACTCCTGGTAAGTACATGCCGTGCTGAGCCAAAGTGTGATGCACCATGGGTAGGTAGCCCAGTGTGTCACATGCCACCATTTGGCACAATGCATGGCAATTGCACTCTGGAAGCTTTGAACGCTGGCTTGCTTTACTGAGATATAGTCCAAAATGACCAAAGCTTTGCTTTGCTTCATTAACTAGACCTACTGAAAATACAAAGAGGGCAAGTTTAATGCTGTTAATTCCAGCAAAGTAAATGGAGTTGGTGAATTTAGCTAACATGTCCAAAACCTTCAAGTTACAGATAATAGTGATATGACAATGTAAGAGACATTTTAGTGTTGCTACAAATTGACCTAGATTACTTAATATGCTAGCATTTGAGTATATGCAACTTGTTTGTAAATTAAACAAATGTTTGAAGCATTTAAGTCAACTCCTACAAAAAGTAAACTTGAGGTAGAAGTTTGAAGTAGTCACGTACACTTTGAAAGTAGCAGAAAATGAGCCTCAATATTGCTTAAACCAGATTATAAACATCTTCAAAGGGAGTAGGGCTTGTCTCCCAGGAAGTCCACTGGAAATGTCGCTACTGATTTTATATTGAGGTATGGTGTTTTTTTGTTTTTAAATGAGTTGATGTTTCAGGTGGGTGTGTTTTTGGGGTAAAAGTGTGGGTAAATATGTGAATTTCATACTTATGGGGGAAGACTGTTTTGAAAATGAAAGTTTTAGTGTTTCCTGAAGACAACCAATCAGGGAGCCAGACGTGGCTCAGATGTAACTGAGAATGTTTTGTCACCACTTTGACTGCGGGCTGAACATTTTCAGTAGAAGCCCTTGTCTACTTCAAAGTGTTTCCCTTTTTTGACCAACATTGCTTTAAGATTGATACTATTATAATACTAAAATACTATTCATTTTTATACCAATACTGTTTGATTTTGATAGAGATAGGACACTATCTGGAGTGGTTTTTGTATGCATTGTTTTATCCACCTTCATTTAAACAAAACAACCCCTCCCCCCCATTTTACACTTCTCTTTATAATTGCATAGGATGAAAAATTAACTCAGCTTGGAGGCAATTCACTTTTAATTATACTTTTGGAGCCTCCCTCTGCTTCGGGGTGGGCAAACTTTTTGGCCCGAGGGCCACATTGGTGTTGCAAAACTGTATGGAGGGCCGGGTAAGGAAGGCTGTGCCTCCTCAAGCAGCCTGGCCCCCCAACCCCTCCCACTTCCCACCTCAGAACCCCCTACCCATCCAACCCCCCCTGCTCCTTGTCCCCTAACCAACCGTGGCCCCTGCTCCCAGTCCCCTGACTGCTGCCCCCTATCCACACCTCCGCCCCTTGATAGCCCTCCCACCCCCAGGACTCCCACGCTTATCCAATCCCCCCATCTCACCACCCCCTGCTCCCGGACTGCCCCCACCCCTTATTCAATCCCCCTGGCCCCCTTACCATGCCGCTCAGAGCAGTATATCTGGCAGCCGCGCCGTGCGGCCGGAGCCAGCCGCGCTGCCCGCGCAGCAGCAAAGCTGCGGGGGAGGGTATGGGGCCAGCCTCCCTGTCTGGGAGCTCAAGGGCCGGGCAGGACGGTCTCGCTGGATGTGGCCCGCGGGCCGTAGTTTGTCCACCTCTGCTCTACTTGCATCTTTTCTCCTCAGGATCCAATAGTCAACAGCATGTATGAAGCAGAATGATGAAACTCAAATGGATAAATTCCTAGTGATGAGGCAACACTTTGAGGTGACTGGGGAGTAAGTTAATTGCTTTACTTTCCACAGAGAGGTATTCTCAGCCAATGCAGTAAGTAGTGGCCAATACCGCTTATCATAGTCATACAATACCAGCAGGATTTGGCCCTACTCCTGAATCGCTAACCTCCCCAAACATGGCTGTAGTCACATTACTGGAAGAGATTCTGCCACATGCATGCTTGAAGTAATCACTAGTAACAATTATTCTCTAGAAAAATCTTGTAATGGCATTCTAGGATCACCGTTCAGACTGTGACCATGTGAAGTACCAGTGTCAAAAACCATTTACACAAATAAATGCAAAAAAATATCAAGTATTAAAACACCAAACTTAACATGTTCTTTTACAAAGACTAAAGTATATTGACACCTTTGTACAAATAAAAGCAATTTTAGTGCTATATTTTAACAAATTCTAATACAAAAAATTGCCTACTCAATAGAATGATTCTTAATCACAAGCCTCTACAGAAACATATAGCTTTACTGTTAAGATGTCAGTCCACTGAGTAATGCTTGCTCAAAAACATTATAAAGTTAAATATGCCAACATTATAAATTTTACAGTTTATCCTCAAACTATACACTTTGTGACAAAGTTCCTCCTCTATCTTGGTGGGTCCTGCGCTTATTGGCAGATTTTCTTGCCTCAGAGAGTCACCATGTGGATTGGGGAATAGCCCAGAGACCTTCCCCTCTGGGAGAACCCATAGTCCAGGTCAATGGGGAGGTTTGGGGGGAACCCGGGCCCACCCTCTACTCCGGGTTCCAGCCCAGGGCCCGGTGGACTGCAGCTGTCTATAGTGCCTCCTGTAACAGCTGCATGACAGCTACAACTTAGGGTTACCATCCGTCCGGGTTTCCCTGGACATGTCTGGCTTTTTTAGCTTTAAATGGCCGTCTGGGGGGGATTTCTAATAAGGTAGAAATGTCTGGGATTTCCCCCTTCCCCTCATGCAGAGTGCGGCGCGGCTGATTGGACGGTTGTGCCTGATTGAAAGCCGCTCGCAGCCACTGGGGTCTCTAGCAGCCAGAGTCCTTCCCCCCTCCCCCGCAGAGCAGCGCCCTGCACATGGAGCCCGCAGCTCTCCCTCGGCCTGGTGGGGGGGGGGGGGGCGCGAGGCAAGGGCCAGGGAA